TCACCAACCGCCTGAAGACCTGCATGTAATGGCCACACCATGGTCTTTCGCACAATGGGGGATGGACGTAGTTGGTCCTCTACCAACTGCCAGAGCTCAGAACAAGTATGTGTTACTGGCTACAGACTACTTTACTAAGTGGGTGGAAGCAAAGCCGTACCCGAGTGTTACTCAAACTCATGTGAGACGATTCATTTGGAGTAATATTATTTGCTGGTTTGGTGTTCCGAGGTCAATCGTCATGGATAATGGTACCAACCTTGACAGTAAGCAAGTAAGAGAGCTGTTGGAGGAGTATGGAATTAATCAAAAGCTGGCAGCAGTAAGTCACCCACAGGCCAATGGACAAGCGGAAATTACAAACAGAACAATCTTTACTTGTATCAAGAAGAAACTAGAAGAAAGGAAAGGAAGGTGGTTAGATGAATTGCCGAATGTCTTATGGGCCTACAGAACGACCCCTAGAAGACCGACCGGAGAAAGTCCATTCACCGTGGCGTATGGAACCGAGGCAGTTATACCAGTCGAGCACTTAGTTCCGACTGTTCGAAGCTTGGCATGGAACCGTGAGCATAATGACAATATGCTAAGGTTTAACCTCGATTTGCTGGAAGAAAAAAGAGACGCAGCAGCGGCGAGGCTCGCCTCTTACCAGCAGACGCTTGCGAACAGCAATAACAAGAAAGTAAAGCACAGAGACTTTATGCCAGGTGACCTGGTTCTGAAAAAGAAGGTGGGGATAGTCAAAAAGATGATGCCACCATGGGAAGGCCCATACAGAATTGCAGAGGCCATAGGAAAAGGCGCATATACCTTAGAAACCATGGCCGGAAGGCTGGTTAACAAGCCTTGGAATGCTACTTCTCTGAAGAGGTATTATCAATAAAAAGTTGAGATTCAGTACTCAATTTTGTTTATTTTAAATTAAAAACAGTTGAATGTATAAGTTTCTGAGATTTATAAAGATTGCACTCCTCTTTAGAATCTTAAGCAAAGTAAGTGGTAGCTGGCACTATGAGCCGAACGCCAAACACTTGCTAAGAAAAATAAAAGGCCAAGTGGCAAGTGGCATTCCAGCCAAGCGCCAGGCACCTAAGCAAATAAGTGGCAGCTGGCACTATGAGCCAAACGCCAAACACTTGCTAAGAAAAATAAAAGGCTAAGTGGCAAGTGGCATTCCAGCCAAACGCCAGGCACCTAAGCAAATAAGTGGCAGCTGGCACTATGAGCCGAACGCCAAACACTTGCTAAGAAAAATAAAAGGCCAAGTGGCAAATGGCATTCTAGCCGAACGCCAGGCGCCTAAGCAAAGTAAGTGGCAGCTGGTACTATGAGCCGAACGCCAAACACTTGCTAAGAAAAATAAAAGGCCAAGTGGCAAGTAGCATTCCAGCCGAACGCCAGGCGCCTAAGCAAAGTAAGTGGCAGCTGGCATTATGAGCCGAACGCCAAACACTTGCTAAGAAAAATAAAAAGGGCAAGTGGCAAGTGGTATTCCAGCCGAATGCCAGGCGCCTAAGCAAAGTAAGTGGCAGCTGGCATTATGAGCCGCACGCCAAACACTTGCCTAAAAAAAATAAATAAATAAAGTTGACACAAAAAATTTGTTCAGAAGTAGGCCATCTCATTAATAAGGTTCAGAGGGTTACAAAAAATGAGGTGTAAGGATGGCAAATATGCCAAAGTCAGTACATTAAAAAAAAAAAAGTTCTAACTAAGAGGCGTTTGCCTCATCGGCTTTTTGATGATGTTGGGCTACCTCCTCATTGTTGGTGGTGTCGCCATCCTCACGAGGTGGAGAGTCGAGGTGAATGACAGAATCGTTCTGTTGAATCCTACCCTCAACAGCGTTGGAAGAATCATTCTGCTGAGGGTTATCTTCAGCAGTAACGGCAGATGGAGTCAAAGTGGACACAGAAAGAATGTCCAAAGTCAGAGCGGCAGGAGGAGCAGGAGTGATCCGAGAAGACGCAATCTCCTGACATTTATCAAATATGCCCTCAGCAGCGGTGGAGTCTAGATCGGTATAAACACCAGGAGGGTCAATATCCAGGTCCTTATCAACATCATTAGGGGTAGAGCCAGTCTGACCCTCATCCGGGATGCGATCGGCGTAACCCTCTCGGAACCCCTGAGCATATCTGAGAGCTCCAACTCTGGAGAACCGAGCATGCAGAGCTAGCATGCCACCATTTACCCTGCTGATGGTATCAAGTAAAGCATTGCGCTCGTCCAAGGCCCTTTTCTCAAAGGCCATCCGAGCGGATTGCTCATCATTCAGAAGGCGTAGCAGTTCCTCCTTCTCGGCCCTAAGGGATTCCCGCTCGGTCTGCCAGACGCTTTTTTCAAGCTGTAGAGCATTTCTCTCATCCTGAAGAGAGTCAGTCTCCTTCCTAAGCAAATCCCTCTCTTTTTCAGTTTTACCAAGTTGAACCATCAACCCGGTCTTCTGAGCAGCTAAATTATCGTTCTCCTTGTTCGCTGCACTAAGGCTGTCAGAAAGCGTGTAGACCTTGGCATTCACATGCTCAACTTGCTTCTGCATAGCCATCATCCCGTACAAGGTCTGTAGAGATATACATGACAACTGGTTAAGCCGAGCAGATGGTTAGAAGAAAATAAGTGTCAAGAGTATGTAAAGATTTATTGACTAAGGGGTGGAAGTCACCTCCATGGCGGACAAGGGGAATCGGCTGAACACCTCCCTCTGAGACAGACCTTTGGCTACCTCGATGTCCTTGGGAGTCCACATACTCCTGTAGTAAGCCATTGCGGTCTGACTATCTTTGAACATGGTCTCGGTCGGTTTCACAGACGATCCGTCTGTTCGAATGAAGCGAGGGCTCCATGGCGCCGTTCCTGAAGGGGAGGCATGCCCAGAAGGGGTGGGAGGCCTAGCTTGAGGAGGTCTTGCCAGGGAAATCACATGCGGCCCAGAGGGCCTAACCCTTTGAGACAAGGGAACGTCATCCATGCTAAGGGCATTGTCAGGTTGATGCCTTTTTCCTCTGGCCTTTTCCCGTGCGGAAGCAGCGGTAGAGCTAGGAGGATTGTTGACAGAGGGGGCAACGTTCGGACTGGCAGTCGCCGTGTTAGCGACCGGGTCAGCAGCCGTCGCGGATAGATCGGTGGAAAGAGTGGTGTCAGAAAGGGTAGCAGAGGAAGATGCTGAAGCCGGTGAGGAATTTGATACAGGGGTGATAGCAGGCTTGGGGGCAGATTTCTTCTTGCCGAAGGAAGGGATCTGGAGTTGGCTCATTGTCTTGCCGAGGACTGAGATATCGAGGAGATTATCTGAGGTGAGAAGGTCTGAGCAAGAGGGAACGTTGGTCAGAACGTACCGCTTTAAGTAGTTATCCCTATCCCTGCACACACTGTAGCTCAAGTCATCACAAGGAATGCCTAAGGAATGGCACAAGAAAGAACAAAAACGAGGAATGCAGATCTCGCAAGGACAGTCACTCTTATGGTTTTTATATTTCTTGTAAAAAGAGACAGAACACTCTCCGAAAGCGCTCGGGATAGGGAAATCCTCCGCAGCTGGAGAGAACCAGGCTCCCCTAACCCCAATAATGTTTTTCCTCCAACCCTTCTCAGATTTGATCTTGTCCGTGCAGAGGGACCTCTTCTCAATGAAGAAAAAGTGGTAAAACGGTTCGTCAGTTCTGATCTTGCTGACCTTGTAATAGAGGAGAAGATCTACGAGGTCCAGATCCAGACCTCTGTCACGAATTAGGAGTAGCATAACAGATAAAATCCTAAGGAAATTGGGGTTTACTTGTAAAGGGGAAAGATTTAGCTTGTTAAAAACATAGCAAAAGAAAAGATGTAAAGGAAATCTAAGGAGATTGAGATGGAGGAGTGAGAACAGGGCCTCGCCGGGAAGAAGGCCACCACCGGTTCTAATATTCACTTCTCGGGGGCAGTTTCTAATCTTTACATCGTCAGGAAGGTGAAGTTTCATGCGAAGAACTTCTAGATCTACTGTCATGGTGAGAATGAATGAGGATTACGGGGAGGAGAAAGAAGTCTTCCAAAACAAAAATGCAAATGAAACTAACCTTAGAAAGTGAAAACGGCAGAGAGTATTGCAAAGCCACTGGAAGGAAGATCTTTCGCAAAAGATTGCCGGAGAAGATTCAAATAGCAAAAGGTGAAATGGAGACGGTAAAGAGGATCGATGGAGAATCAATGGAGCTTATAAAGACGAGATGAGCCCAAGAGCCGAGGAGTCAGGAAAGCGATGGGTTGTCTTTTTGAATCTCGAAGCGCCGACCCCTAGATTTAACCGTCCATTCTCCCACACGATTTCCTCGAGCCGTCAGGTCATCATTAGCAGCCTCTAATAATTACCCCCTAATCAATAAGGGGTAATTATGGGGGCAGTTGAGGATGCGGCAAGTGGCATGGGCCGGATATGGTTCGCGGGAAGAAGATCGGGTTGAATGATTGAAGTAGGATCCATGCCAAAGCACCCTGGAATGGGCCGAACGTGGGAGGTCCACCGAGGAAGGTCAAGCCCATTGCAAGACCTAGCCCAGAAGGAAGAGAGCTTTCGAATATAGGCCCAATATAATTGGTTAACTACAATAAAGGTCATGGCCTATAAATAGACCATGACGGGTGGAAAGTGAGGGGAGAAGGCTAGAGAGAGAGAGAGAGAAGAAACAAAATCTTGTATCCTCAATAGCACATATGTAAGGAAGAATTGTTTGTAGGAGGGTAGAGGACTAAAATTAACTAACATGAGCGGAGCAAATAAGAAAAGATATCAGAACATATGATTGGACCGAGGTTAAGGGCATAGATAGAGCATAATAGAAAATATGATTCAGATATCCCAAATAGTTTGCAAAAATATTTTGTTGAGTTGAATATTTTATTTAATAATTAGATCTGATAAAAGGCCTAATCTTTCCCGTTGAAAAACCATTTTGTTGTAGTGGACCAAGGGTATCATAAAATTGGTTCTTAATTAATGCCCATGGAAGAGAGAAAATTTGTAATTAAGGGGTGCTTAGAGGTCAGGATTTTCTTTGATCGCATGGCTTGCCAAAGCAAACAGTGTACACGGGTTAGAGCAAAAATGATTTCTCCACAATCCTTACACAAATTTGCAATTACATATATACATATATATATTATGTTTATGTCTCCACTGAAGCTCGAACACCCAATCTTTTTTTTTTTTTTTTTTATTAAAAAAAGATAGAATTTTTATCGGTTAACAAAGTACCAATTCTTAGTAATTTTTCATGTTTATATATAGTCATAATTTTCTAAGAACATTGACAAAAGTAATGGGCCTTATCTCTTCTTTAGCCATCTCTTCATCCACTAATCTTCCATAGATCTTGAACAAGCTGTCAACAATTCCTTGTCCAAAATGGTGGCAAATCATTGATTCTTGGATTGCCCTCACTGTCATTGCAACTGCCATTCCATAGCTCATACTGTCCCCAACATCCTTCTCGTATTCGAACATTTCAAGCTGATCCATTTCAAAAGAACCCTCTCTCTTTACTTCATCTTCTAGTTCATCCTTGCATGGTGCGAAAAAATGAACATCATAAGAATGAAGCTTTTCCCTCTCAATTTCTCCCTACAAAACAACATAACTATGTATAATAAATACACATTCATATAAATATGTACAAAATGTCTAGTTCAATGCACGAAACTCCAGCAATTACAAGGTCTAGAAGGATATGATGTAAGCAGTATTGTCTCGAATTGTATGCTTGATTTCGAACATGTGATTTCTTTATCACAATAAAGCAATCTTACTGTTAAAACCCCCTCCCATTCAAATCTATATGTATGCATATAAAAATTGTGCTATTACATAGATGACCAAGTAATTTATTTAGTAGCACTTATGGTACCTGAGAAACCAAATTGGCGAAGGATTGAGAGAGAAGTTCCCAAAAGAACGCATTGCCTCGGTCAACATGATTTGAATCCAACCGTCCCAACAAGATCGGCACCATCTTTCCTCCACTGATCAGCTCCTTGGATCGTGATCGGAGGAACATTGAGAAGTCCTCTTGAAATTGCCTGAAGTACGCTTCACCCACCTGAGGAGGACTTGATTCAGATATGTAAACGTTGCCTTTGTTTATCGACTTGCCTTTGTTATCATAAAGTGCGGGAGGAACCTACATACATGGATCAACCAAAAATTATATATTGCTCATATGACACCTATAGGTTATGAAAACTCCAAAAATGTATTAAGGGTAAGGACATTTTTGAAATCAAATAATGGCATTTTCGGTATTTAATATAATTAATTAGTGATGTGCAAGACATATGATTTGTTAACGGTACTTTTCTATCCGTTGATTGTCAAAATTTTTTAATTTATAATATTTTTATATTTTAAATTAAATAATATATTCAAAGTAAAAAATAAGTGTTATTTGTTCAAAAAAATAAACTTTAAGATGTTTGATATACTAATTAATTTTTCAGGAGTTACAAACACACATGTTACTCGCAACATGCTCCTGGAAATCATACATATATGATTTTATTTGTATATCTAATGTACAAATATGTGCTAAGAATTTTCATCTTGGGTGGTATTAGTACGTCATCTGCACCGTGATGAAGAAAAGAGCAAGAGTTGAGGTTCCAATTAAGACAAAGGATGGTAGGACCACATCAACTGTTGTGCCTGGTGGGCTCTTATGTTTGCGTTAGTATGTAACTGAACAATGGGGCCCTAGCCTTTCTACAGGTCTCTTACTGGATTCAGAATTTGAGATTGTCCATCATGATTTTTATTTCACTTGTTGACAGGAATAGAAATATACTACTCCCTCCCTTCATTTTTAAGAATTTAATTTTTTAAGAAAAAAAATTTATTACATTTTAATTATATTAGTAGTGAAATCCACAGCAATATGATGGTTTATTACAGGTTCATTGCAAAAGTGTTAAATTGGTAATATTATATAAAAAAAATAGTATATTGATTTTTCAAATGAGACCCTTATTTTTAAACGGATAAAAATAAAAATGTGAACATTTGTTTTGAAATGGAGGGAGTATCTTCTTCTTCTTGTGAAAATATAACAAGTTCTTTATTTTTTAATAGTAGAGTCCACTAGTTGGCTTCGAGAAAGTGAGACTCGGAATCGGACTCCTATCATGTTCTTTAGTTTTAAGAGCAAACAATTGGGATTTGAGTGGTCATGCAGATCAGATTCAAATCAGATCAATTAAATATATATTTAATTTATTATGTTAACAAATTATCAAATTGAATGTTCCAATTCATCTCATATTTAGCTCGGATTAAGATCGTATCGAATTTGGATTTAGATTAAAATCATATTCCACTTGTTTTATAAAACAACATTATCTTTATTTTTAATAACCAAGAATCAGCTTATTCACTAGCTTTTTTGAACTCTATTTGCAAACTCAAAATGTATACAATCGCCTACAAACTAAATGAATTCATGTCTTATCTTTGGTGAGATTAGAACTAGAGACCAAAGAGAGCCTTTCTAGCCAAACCCGTGCGCACTAATTTGAAAAAAAAAAAAAAACAAAAAAAAAAAAGGTTCATGTCTTTTCCTAATTTTTTTATTTATTATTATTTTTTTAATAGGGATCAATCAATTAAAACTTCATATGTAGAATTAGAATTTGATACTCCTTGTACAACTTTTAGGGGGCGTTGATCTGTTTTTGCAGAACAACAATATAGCTGGTTGTACCACACTACTTTTAATAACACAGTTCCCAACAGTACACTAAGAAAAAACAAATAATAATAATAATAATAATAATTTCACTGACACCCCCTTAAATTTGGTCAAATATCACTCTTAAACATCTTTAAAAAATAACAATCATTTAAGTCTATTTTTATTTATTTTTTGTTAAAGTCTCCGTTGAAAATATAAAAAAAGACAACTTTGCCCATAAATTTTTAATTCTATTTATTTCAAAATATAAAATTACTTAAATGACTATTATACCCCTCAGGTATATATATATATATAAGTACAATTGCAGGTGTTTGTGTGTGTGTATATATATAACAATGGCAACCTAGGTGGTGTCATTTAGGCACAGAGACGACAGCGAAGGCATCCAGATCGACGGATAGATTTATATATTAAGTAAGTCATAGACAATTTAAAGAAGAAAAAAAAAATGTAAACTCATGGGAAATTTCCAAAAAGGTCAAAAAAAGAAAAAAAGAAAAGAAAAAGTGGTTACCGTTTGGACGGATCGATGCCTATTGCCCACATTTTTCAAGAGATCGGATTAGATTGAGGACGATCTCTTCTGCACTTACATGCACCGGTGGTGAAGGAGTAGAGGTCAACAAAGGGGAAAAAGTTCGTGTTACCTTGCCACCGGCTGACTAGCGTACATATATATACACGTGCATGTATATCACTGATTTAAAATAATTGTTGAAGATTAGTGTAATAATTCAATGGAAGTAGATGACTCAATTGGTGAGTAGATTGCGAGTCCGAGCTCGTCTTGTATTTTCTTTTCTTATTCAGGTATGCGAATGGGTGGATTTTGGTGGTGGTGTTTATGAGAAAAACCAAGGTCGGCGATTCTGGAATGAATTTGGAATTCTCAATTCTATTTCCATCCCGTCCTCATCTATCCAATTTCACAATTCCAGCACTATATGAGAAGTTTGAAGATGATATTGATAGATATGTATTAAAGGGGTATAGGAATTTGCAACTGTACTCATTAGGAGTGTTGGCAAGGTTCCGGCCAAGATGGATTTTGGAGAACAAGAAATTAATTATATATAATCAATATAATATATATATTCATAGGGAAAAATAAACTTATCTTGACCTAACGATAGAGGCAACTAAGTGTTGACCAGTTGCCAGATCTTTTCGGTGACCAACGATAATATTTTATTATTAGAGGTAACGATTTCCATGGATAAGAATGATGAAAAATCTTATGCAGGATAAGATTTCCATGGGGATGATGACAAATCTTATTAAGGATAAGATTTCATAGTCCCATGAGATGAGGATGATAAAATTCCCTTATCGAGAATAAGGGAAGCGATGATAAATAGGATGACGACTCGGGAATAAGGTACGACAGAAAAACTATTATTAAATTCCTGCCTTCTTTATAGACCTCCGGTGACTAACTTGACCTTTGGAGAACTCTTGGCAGGCACCACACCAGTGCTGTCAAGGTTCATCGATCTTCTCCTCTCTTCCGCGAATTTCACCCTCAACAGTTGGCGCCGTCTGTGGGAACAACGATTCCCTTGAATCAATTAATTACTCTGTTGGGTATATACGTTTGCAGTCCGGTATGGTTACCGAAGGAACACTGTCGCAGGGATTTGGTCAAAGGGTAGAGTTGAGTGAAAACCTGGACGTCCCAAACAACCAGACACGGCTTGTAGCGTTGGAACTGCAGGTCCAAACTCTAAGTCAGGGTATGGACCAGTTGATTCAGCAAAATGCAGCACTCCTGTAATATCTTGTTCCACCAGTTCAACAAAACTTACCACGACAAGATCTCTCAAATCCAAACGGAGGGAATGGGAATCTTGAAGAGCAAGATAATCATCCCCCCCAAATGAGACTGAAGTGGAACAAAGCCAGGTGGGAACCCGACATAGAGAGGTGGTCTACCCATCTCTCCCACGGAGTTCCCGACCTCCTGAAAGCACAGCCTTTTGTCTTAAGGAAAAGACAAAGAAAGTTACCTATCTCGACCTGCAGATTGAGGATCTCAAGGGGAAAATGGAAGATGTAATGCAGGCTCTGAAAAGGAAAGGTCCTGCCGCTGTAAATGACCTTGTACAAAGGAACAACTTGCAGTTCAGCCCCGCCGTTATGAAATGTCCATTACCTAGTAAGTTCAGGATGCCCTCATTCGAAAGCTTCGATGGGACCAGAGATCCCCTCGATCACTTGAAAACTTTTCAAGCTCTTCTGCATTTACACGCTGTGCCAGACGAAATCATGTGCCAAGCTTTTCCCACTACACTTAAGGGATCAGCAAGAGTTTGGTTCAACAAGCTGAAGCCAGGAACCATCAACACCTTCGAAGAACTGAGTAAGCAGTTTGTGAGCCACTTCATTGCAGGTTAGAGGCATAGAAGGCCGGCTACCCACTTGTTTATCGTGGAGCAACAAAAGGAAGAGTCGATTCGGGAATACATCACCCGATTCAACGCAGAGATGTTACAGGTAGAAGAGGTGGATAACAAGGTAGCTTTGACCGCTTTCATAGGAGGACTCTGTAATACCCCGATAATTTTAAAAGATTTATTAATTAGGATTAATTATTTTATTTTATTTTTCAATGATTTATTTTATTTTATTGAGTGCTAGATTAATTATCTTATTTTAATTAAGTTATATTTCGTGATTATGTATAATGATTGATTGTTTATGTGGTTGATTATTGATTGAATTATTGGTGTGTTGATTTTATTGGTATTATATGACTTAGTTGTAAATTCTTGTTTGTTTATGTGCTTCATGTAATTAGTTATTTTAATTTCTGTATTTAATTAATTATCTTATTTATTTAAATTAATTGGATTGGGCTTAAGGAAAGTTGGACCAAAAGATGTGGTCTTGTGCTTGTATGAAACCTTATTGGGTTAATTAATGAAGGTCCGTGGTTATTTAATTATTTAAATGATCACTTTTGTATCAATTATATTTATATATATATATATATAATTATATATAAATATAATTAATTAATAATTGTTATGGAAAGATATATATATAGATATATATTTATTGATATTTATAAGTATATATGATTTAATTAACTAATGAGTTAATTATGGAAGGAATATATATTTATATATATATATGTTTATAGATATAAATTATTTAAAGATTATTATTTTAATTCATAATACTAGTTGGAATAGGATTTGAAATTTAAGGTGTATAAAAATACACATAAGGCTTTAGGGTTAAAGGTTTTACACGTTAGAAAAATAAAACAGACAGAGAGAGAGGAAGAAGAAGGGCTGACAAGGAGGAGGTCGGATCTGAAAAGGAGGACGTCGGAATTGGAAGAGATAATTAAAGCTTAAAGCGTCGGTTTCGTTTCGAAATCTTCAGGCGAGTTTTCTCTAACTTTCCTCTTAGAACTCATAAGGATTTCA